ATAGTAAGCATTTTAGAAACGAACGAAGAGTGCTCGCTATAGAGAGATTTTACTGTATAAGTTAAACTTGTGAAACGCGCTTGCCAGTATGATTGTGTCGTACGTGTGAAAAATCGTCAGCGGTGAAAAACAGACATAGTTATAAAAAAACACCCACTTTTTTCAGTGAGTTCCACGAGATATCCGAAAAACACCTTCATGGAATCGTCTTGCAAATGTTGTTTATACGGATTCATACATTGGAGGTGGTTTTAGCTATAGTACAAACCCGACTAAAGAAAACTTTAATCAAAACGATACACTCAACACTCCACACAGTCGATTAAAGATTGTTACGCGGCTATTAAACAATTTTTTCTACGTTTTCCACAATTTCGATCAAATAATTTTTATTTGAGTGGTGAATCCTATACTGAACATATCGTACCAGCACTATCAAAAATGATTGTCGAAAAACATGAAAAGATAAATTCAAAATTTAAAGGATTTATTTTGGGCAATCCGTTAATTGATCAAGCTAGTACGACATATATAGGTATAGGGGACAGAGATACTCAGAGCCGGAAGCACAACTTTTAACTATTCTTAACTTCTTTTACATTGAGGTGATTTGTCAACACTTCGTGGAAATGCACTTATTGATGACAGCACTTGAAAATGATCTTGAAATATTGTATTGATCCGTACAATGCAAACCCGTACGATCCAGAGCTGAATCCCACTGGTTTTTAGCCGTGGAAAAGTAAAAAATGTGTTGAATACAGTACAAAGGCGAATGAAATTGTTTTTCCGGAAGACTATGATGTTAAAGAGGATATCAGTGGTGAACTTGATCCATATGTAAGTTACTTTTTTTTCTGATGAAAAAGAGTTTTCCAAGTCAAGGTTGTTGGTAGTTGTCAGCTGAGGCAAAAATGAATTCAGAGCGAGTGTGGATGTAGCGCAAATGGTTTGAGAGAACTCATATTGAGAGCGTTTAGAACCCACGATCCCCATCGAGTAAGTAACATCCGCAAATATCGAATCAAATATTTGTGAGCCAATGAAGAAGTCTCCAGCATAACTGTAGCAGAGCTCCTCTGTAAGGTGGGAAAATCCTTTCTCATCTATCCTACTGCTGTGCAACAGAAAGAAGCAGAGCAAAGTAAAAAAAAATACCTTACGCTTTATCCTAGAATCCAGCATTTCTGGACTTTTTAAGAATTTTCTACTGATAATGTAAGGCTCACCGGACGTATCATCTTAGGTAGTTACTATTTGTTGGTTCTCTCTCAATTACTGAGCAAAAAACAGCATTTTTTTAGACACACTTAATCTGGGTTTCATTGGGAAAGAGTTTGTTTTGTCTGCGAGCATCTCTTCTCCTTTTTCTTGCAGGCTAGATGAAGTAATTAAGCTATTCGTCATCTACATCCTCTGATGATATTTGTTTTCGGAGGTCTTCTCTCGGTTTTTATGAAGACATCCGGATTCATGTTTTTCGTGGAATGTTAAAGTAAGATAAATTGCGCATAAACTCACAGGAAGAGAATACTACAAATGGAGATTTTAGGATCGGTACTTTATGAATATTGCAGGACAAGGCTAAAAAAAGTGCATGTTGTGCGTCAGTCATGGAGAGCGCGGCCAGGTTCTGCTAGCGAGCGTATTCAAAAACTGCTTGATGAAACCTTTATTAAGCCAGTAGATATCAGTTTCTTCCATAGCTCGCACACTTCTTACTATTGCATCTGCTCTTAGGGATTGAATTATGCATATTGTACAAATGCACAATACAAACGTGAAATTCTCCACTGGAAAAATAATAAGAAGTTGATTCTGAAACAAAAGCGACGTGATTTCGTTGCAATCGATAACTATCTTGCATGCATTACAATGTACACGGAAAACTATTTAAATCGTAATCAAGTTCAAAAAGCACTACACGTTCTACGAACACCAAACAAAATTCACCACTTGCATGGCCAACGCGATTGCCACTTACACCGAAGAGTCGGCCTTTGTCTATCAGCAGCCTTTCCTGCGTTATCTATTTAAAAATGCATCACACTTGAAAACGTTAATTTTTGGCGGTGATAATGATGATGTTCGTAGTACACTTGGAACGATGTACGTTTTGGAATATGAATTTAACTGTGGTGTCCAACTTTCAAAATTGGCGTGATCTTCAGTATCCAGATCAATTTGCTGGATTTTTTATTAGATATAAAGAAATTTCATTGGTCACTGTACACGGCACTGGACATCAAGTGTCGCTTTATACACCGGAAAAAAGGTTTTGCATTATTTGAAAAAATATTGTTAGGAAAGTTCTGGTAGACTGGATGCGAATCAAGTCGATTAACACGATCTCAATCAAAACTGCGTAACTCAACTTTTACAATTCTTTTTGATAATTTTTGGACTTTTAAGAAGAGCTCGCGTGAATCATACTACATCATCTTGGAAACTTTCTCGTTCTTTTTATTGTTTCCCCGCGCCATACATACAGAAAGAGTCAAATTTTCGTTTGAGCGATAAATAACTGTTGTAATTTAAATGAATGGCGGTCTTGCCAATGCGGCCTTTCTTGAGGAACTCCATTTCTTCCTTGCGTACTACGTCTTCTTGGCACAAATATTGGTGAGGGTGTCTATATGGACACTACAGAGATAACTGAATTCGATTGTGTCTGTATCGGTGATTATGCGACACTAAATATGTCATGTGGTCTTCAGACACATCTCTACGAAGATTGTTTAATGAAAATAGGAGAGATACATATTGGTACTGGCGCGACAATAGGATCCAAGACAATAGTTCTTTATCATACAAGAGTTGGCGACTTTGCACATGTAGGCCCACTAACTCTTATAATGAAAGGTGAGACTATTTCAGATAACAGTGAATGGACAGGTTCACCGGCAGTACCTTTTACATCAGTAACCTCAGTAGCTAACCAGTAGATATCGAACGCTTTTTCATAATTTTACAAAGGAATGAGTTGTTTACGATTTTTCTTGTTAATATCAGCAAATATTTTGTAATTTTTTTTTTGTAATTTTTTTTTGTAATTTTATATAAATTTTTATATAAAAATTTTAATATTTTTAAACAAAAAGTTTTATATAATTTCAGATCCTCTGGAAATCCGATCTTTGAAATTGTTTCAAAAGTTGTTTTTGCTTGTGAAAAGTTCTGCTCAAATCTTGGCTCTCGAACAGCGAAAACCGCAGGTCTCTGTCTATCTTCTGTGAGAAGTTATTCAGAAAGTGGCACACCGCACTGTATTTTGGAACGGATAGTAGAGCTATTTGGTGCTAAACAGGGTTCATACATCTTTAAGGCTTTTAAATGATATTCTAAAACTTGATCGTAATCGTTCTCTGATTTTATAAACTAATCCAATATTACTGACGAGGGAATCTCCCCAGATGTAACACTCCGTTTCCAGTTATTTATATGCCGATCAGTAGACGATAGTGATCTTGTAAGAGCCCTAAAAGGATTTGGGCTCATGGTACTTTTTGCAAAAGTACCATGAGCCGAGTTATGAACTTTTCCGTTTGCCTGTGCAAGGGAACCTACTAAGATCAGAAACTGAGTCAAAACAGAGAATTACGGGTACCGCTCTCTTTTTTCAAAAAAATTTCGGATTTTGAGCTGATTTCAAATTCACACGAACGCTTTCTATTCTTAATAAGTATATTGATAGAAATATTTCATAATAAATAGATAGAAATGAAACAGTTACTTTTAATAGAACAATAGTCATTTGTATATAAATATTTTCTTGGATAAATATTTATACATAAAATAATTTCTATTTTCGCACATCCTATTTTAGTTACTTGTCAAGTTTTATGAAAGAAAAACACAAATAAAGATGGCTATAACAGAATCACTCTCTATCTGTGCTCATTGTCAATTACCAATGATTCTTAATGGAAAACTTTTTTTATTAAATTCCCATGTGGTCATACGGAACATGCTTAATGTTTCATTCTCAGTCAAATTACAAATCCACCGCATCAATGTAAAACATGTGGTCAAGCACATTCATTCAATAGTCTTCAAATCTTGAAACAGATTAGATCCATTACGTGCCTCCATAACAATTTTTATTTCCAATATTCTTCTTCTTCATTAAGCCAAGATTTCCTAGAATTATAAATATAATCGTCATTATTTCAAAATTTTTATCTTCATTTTCTTTTTTACGTGTAACATATATTCAATAATATAAAGAAATCGATTTTACTTATACTCTATACTCATAGTTTTTGTAAATAATAATATCATTGAAATTAATTTTTTATGATTACTTAGATTCTATTTGAATAATATAATAAATAATAAATAATGTTTATAATTCTAATATTGTCAAACAAAAAGAAAACAGTTCTGGGAAAATCCTTTATTATAGTGAATATTTTGGAAAAATCAACCTTTCTCTCTCGTTCAAAATATTCATATATATATATGAATATTTAATATATATATATATATGTAATCAATTTTCAGCAGTGTCACATATCCAAAATTTTGGAGATGCATCCGCGTCTCCCTCAGGAGATACCGCATCCCCAGCGGGAGATGCTACATATGATGGGGGGCATATGCATCTCTGAGGGTGAGGATACATCTCCTGGGGGAGATGACGGTACTTCTTCAGTTGAACGACACCCTCGCCTGATTGGTTATGTATATAAAGAGGAGAGGAAAAAAGAATTATTGGTTAGTCTGTTTTGATCAATGAACACCATAGAACGACAGGTGGCGTATATTTTCATATTGATGGAGTGGTTAAATAGAAGTCATTCCGGTATTATGTGATAATATTTATTTCACAAAAAAAATCTAATAATTTAACAATTAACAAAAAAAATCAAATATAGTTACACCAATGGATACTTTTCTTGAATAATACGAATTAAATTCTCCAAAGGACGTTGACCAGATCGACGACGCCACATAAATTCTGCCAAATGAGTTTGTAATAATGAACGATGTTGACCCATTTAGTTCTTTTCCTTCATTTTTGCCACCATCCATAAGTTTTCGATGTTTTGTGTGTGAACTAATGTAGTTGGATCGACGAAATTAAGTGAATGATTCACGGTATGATGAATGTAACGTTCAGGACCATGAGTATGATTATTGATTGAATAATATGCACGCCACACATCACTATGAATTATCGTACCAGGTAAAATAAATTGATGAATAAGAAGTATTAATGTTGCTGAATCACGTCGATCTATAAGTACAACAAAACCTTCACGAGTATCCCGATCTACACCACCAAATACCCACCGTGTACCTACCAGACGACCTCGACTGTATTTTCTTTTGGTCCATGCACTTTCGTCGATTTCCACCACATGATCAACCCCACTGATAGCTATAGGATAACGAATAAAATATTCTAAACATAAATCACGCATAAAGTTTTTCCAGTCAGCGATGGTTGCATCACCTAATATTTGAATATTTCTTTTAATAAATTTATGTGAATCTAATCGTTGCGACCAATACATCATTAAATCCATAATTTGTTGTAATGTAAGTCGACTATCACTAATATAAGTAAATAAAAAAAAGGAAAGAAAATGGAAATAAAAAAAAAATAATCATTAAAAAAACCTGTATCGTATATTGTCTCTGACAGCTGCCAATATCAGTCGAAATGTCAGATAGAATATTGACAGATAATGTCGGAAACTGTGAAGACGGTCTCCATTATGCAAAACACCAGCTAATACACTGTGTGCGTTAATCGTCCCTGAAGAGCAGAAATGCATGTATTTCGTAAGACGCAAACATATATTTATATTTTGTCTCGAACTTGATGAGCATTAGAAATGATTCAAGGATTGTACAGTAGTTGTCTGAAATGAATCAGGGGTCAAAATTTATCTATTATTTTAATTTACTTTATAAAAGAATTTGGTAGTCAGAAGTAGATAAAATTGAAAAAAAGCGCTCAGGTATAAGGCGCGCGTAATTCAAACTTATCACGGGTTCTCGTTTTTGGCCAAAATACGCATACTCTGATAGAAAAAATTGTGCTGATTCCGAATATCTCCTTTTTAAAATGAAAAAGTTAAGCTTTCATGGAGAAAAACTCAAAATACTGAGGTCGGGCCGAAACCTCAAAATCCGCTCATTTTCAGAAAGCGTACCAAAACTTTTTTGAAGATATTTTCGGATTCTACGCCAAAAACTGATTCTAGAAAACTCTTTCTCAAGGTTTTTCGGCTAGATATGAAAATGTGTCCTGCGGTTTTTCAAGCGCGCCTCAAGGATTGAGCTCGCCATCTCAAAAATCCATCAACTCCATAGAATAAAATGCTAGAGACTTCAATCATGCGCCAAAAGATCCGGCTTGAAACGTAGAACAATT